TTGAAACTATCCTACCGATTTGATTTGAAACTGTCTCATTGGTATTTGTTTATCAATAAAATTATGGCAAAAAAAGAGAGATATACAGCACGCCCAGAAGCATTCTCGATTGTGTGTAGTTATTTAGAATATGTGGAGAAAATTGACACTCAAGTCAGCGGTAAAGGCTCACTCGATAAATGGAGGTGAGTGCCCCTTCCAGGGATACCTTACAGTGTAGTGTAATGATACATCTTTCCTACCCCGTAGCAAAATTATTTCCAAACAGACCAATAATCTGTAAGAAATCCTTTCAAATCACTGAACTACATTATAAGTCAGGTGATGGCTTGCGTACAACCTGAGAGCAGAAAAGAATCACGAGGAAAGAAATCTCAAAGGATGCTGCTGCTCGGCTTCACCCACAGAGAAGAAATAGCGGTGTCTCTGCCTCACGTGGACTAGGGACAAAGGGCGGGGCGACTTTGGAAGGAGTGCTGGAGTGTGTGTGTGTGAGTGTGTGTGTGTGTGTGTGTTTCATTTTGACAATGTCATGTATTACTGGTGTGATTTTTTCAAATGCTATTTCACCCAGTGAAGGCCTAAGAACTCAGCTTTCAAAGCATTTTTCCTTTGAGCTCAAAAACAGAAACTGCAGTGGGTAGGGCTTCGGCCAGCGCTCCTCCGCCTAGGTGAAGGTGCCACGCTTCAGAATGCCCTGGTGAAGTAAACGAGCCCACCATCCTGTCTCCCTGCGCTCAGGACGCCGCCGGGTCCATGTGGAATCATGGCTTCTGCAGCTTGTGAGACACAGGGCTGCTCAGCACCCCAGACGCCCTGCTCGACGTGACCCTGGTCACCACAGCTGCCACTCGTGCACCTGCAGTCCCTGAGCCCAGAGAGGACACTAGAAGCACGGGAAGTGCTCTCAGGAGTCAGGTCATTCTTATAGGACTTTCCTTCCGTACCCATATGTTAGAAAGATGCACAGGCGCGGCCTGCTGCTGCCGATGGTGGGCTGTGCTGCCCACCCCACCCATGCGTTACACACAGAGTCCCCAACTGGACACCATTAGGAGGAGCTGGACGACTTGGAGGGGTAGGGCCTGGTGGGACATAAGGGCCCTGCCCTAGCTCCCTCTCTCCCTCTCTCCCTCTCCCTCTCTTTTCTGATCATCCAGTGAATGGCTTCTCTCACCACGCACTCCTACCCCCATGTGCTGCCTCATCCCCAATCTAGTGCACTGGTGCCCATCTGTCATGGTCCCAAATCTCTAAAACTGTCAATCAAAATAAACCTTGCCTCCGTTTAAGTCAATTATCTCAGGCCTTTTGTTATAGTCACAGAAAACTAATAGATACACATCTCCAACTTTACCTAGATGATACACCATGAGCACACAAAATGTTAAATGTTAAAGAATTTAAATTCATGCAGGAGGTGATGGGTCCCTTAGCTCAGGGGTTAGAGCACTGGTATTGTAAGGCCATACAAGGCCAGCAAGATAGCTCAGTGGACTAAGTGCCTGTTTAGGCAAGTAGAGGGAACCAGGGTTCAATCCCCAGCACCACATGCCATGTGCCCCACCCCCAGGTGCACTGAGCCAGCCACTGAGACTGGGCATGTTGGCACACACCTGTAATCCCAGCCCTGGGGAGGCTGGAAACAAGAGGATCACCAAGAGTCTGGGCTGCATAGTGAGACCCTGTGCCAAATACATTTTTTAAAAAAATCCATATACAGAAAATGGTGTGTTTCTCTAAGTTAGGAAGTCTGGAGCCATAACTCTTTATGCTAGAATTACACAGAAATCAAACCTTAATTGCTCAGTCCCATAATCTGCTGTCATCTTTCCTCCAAAGACCTACATGTGCATTTATATAACCAAAGGACTATGGATTGGTTTTGTCAAACCAAAGGAAAACAGGCCCTGTAGCGCCGTGCGTGATACAAGACGATTCTCTCCCAAGCTTCTAGCATGGTAGATGCTCCAGAAAAAGGAGCAAGCAGAACAAAGAAGATCGAGTTCAAAGGAGGCAGGCTCCCTTCTCTTAGGAAGCCAAAAAATGTTTACTTTTGTTTGGCATTATTTTCGGAAAGGTTCCTTTTAATACTGTAGTGACTGAACACTGGAAATATCTAAAGGCCGAATCTCGGAGATTAATTAAACATACTACAGTCTAGACATACAGAGCAACTCAAACAACATTGCAGTGGTCAACTTGATGTATCACTCGGTCTCTCAGTTCCAAGCAACATAAAACACTGAGACTGCTCCAGAGCAAGGGCTGTTCACACTGCACACCTCAGGAAGTCAGAGGCAGGAGAAGTTTCGCGGCTGGCAGGTTCTCAGCCCCCACAAAGTTGCTGGGAGCTCGCTCTTCCCAGCCCCCTCACCACTCTGAGGGTCCTTGGTGCTCACACACGCTTCTCCTTCTGTTTCAAGATGGGACAGGGATCAGTGCACCGCAGCCACAGCCAGCGGTGTCCAGAGGCCTAAGAGACTGCTCCTTCAGACCTCTGTCCCAAGATCGGGCTCCCACAGACGTCCCATGACTTTTCAGAGGAGACTCAGTGCCTGCCCTGAACTCCTCACCGGAAAGGCCAAGAGGATGGGCACCGTTGGGTTGTGCCAAGCGGGATGAAGCCCTATGACCATGGATCTATGGCCCACTCTGGTGCTGGGGAGGAAGTCTCTGAACCAAAGTAATAAAGGTTATCAGATGCATTGATCAGGACCAACGTGGGTGAGTCTGCAGTCATGAGCATCCCCAAAGCTCCCAGGGCTTCAAATAACAAAACCCCATTTACTTCCCATGCTACAGCTCTGTCACCTCACAAGGGCCTCTTCACATCGTGGTTTCCTGATACTTGCCCTGTGGGTGAGCTCCAACCCTCCCAGCACCCCTCACTCACCAGAAGAAGCGCAGAGCTCAGAGCACAGGACAGCGTCAGGTGGGCAGGACGCTATGCATCACGGGCACATTCAGCCACAGACCACAGCCAGGCCCAGCCCGATGGGCCAGGCAGGGCCACCTGTGCCTGGGAGCAAGCAGAAGCACAAATGGAATGCTTGGCAATGCATGTGATTCTGGGTAAGAGAAAGGAGAACAGTTGTAAAATGCCACTCTGTGCAAAAGGCATGCGACAAAAGCAATCCACTTTCTTACCCCAAGTATGAATGGCCAGCTGAGGCTCATCATGAGATAGAAATGAAGCCTCCCTCCCGTGCCCTGGCAGACGGCTAGCGGCAGCCCAGTCTCCACTCACGTATCAGTGGCACCTGTGACAGCCAGCTACGGTATGACAACCAGAAATGTCCCCACTTGCTGCCAAATGTCCCCAGAGCAGTGAAATCCCCTCCTCCGAGAACCACCACACACAGGGCTCTTATCCCTGTGAAGATGGACAGCGTGAAAGCCAGTGTCCCTGGTCACATGGCCAGGAGAGGCACCTGCCCGAAAGAGGAGCCAATCGGCAGGCAAGAGACAAGAGAGGAAAACCTTCTGCTTTATTGCTTCAGTGGACTTGACTTGGGTTTTCTGTGAGTAGAAGAAGGCCTTGTAACGGAGGAACACACGGAGAAATGTGTGTGATGCTAAACATACGCGTATATATGGCCACAGACACGCTCCAGAGGCAGCTTGAGGCCACTGGTGGCCCATACGCTTCCCACCAACCTCCCCGCCTGCCCTCCCACCCGTGGCCAACAACACCACTTCTCTAATTGCACTGTATCACTTCCACAAAGTAGAAAGAAGAACAATAATGTGAATTCCATCTTTAGTGTTGGGCTTCCCAACTGGCTTGACAATTTTATTCCTGATCAGTGATGTCAGGTGTTCCCTCTCCACCAAGGTGCTTCGTGGACTGGATTTAATTCCGTGAGTCAGATGAAACAAATCCAGGCCTTCCCGAAATGAACTTTCTCAGCATGACAACAGTGATGTACACGGTTACCGTTTCCTGTGTGCAGAGGTCTTCTCCCGCCCCTGGGGAGCATTCATTAAGGGCCACAGCCTCATTAGCTTCTATGCCAAAGAAAATGTGGGGGTGGAAAGCAGCCGTGAAAATTTAGCGAAGCTGATACTTAGGCAAGGCAGGAAATTGCACCTCAGCACGGGTCGCGCCTAAGCCTCCGGCTCCGCAGTTGTGTGCTGATCCTCAGACTCACGAGGGCCGTGTGGTACCTGCAGCGCGGTGTGAAAACCGGAACCCTGAGGCCTCCGGGTCCACAGGACTGTGCTCCCTCAGAAGGTTTGGGAACAGTCACTGGGCACTTCCTCCATTCCGGGGACCATCAGCCAGCTTCCTGGCCTTCTCTGTGTCTCCCTCTGTCTGTCAAAGGGACACTTGTTGGACTTCGCACCGCCTGGGTCACCCAGCACAGTCTTAACCCCAGATTCTTCACTCAATGACCTCCACTAAGACGGTTTGGTCAAACTGAGTCACACTTCTAGGTTCTGAGCCAGCATCTTTTTAAGGAACCGTTCAACCCACTGCAGCACTTAACTGCTGACTTCCAGGTTGACGCTAATATTTCTTTGTCACCTTTGGCGGCATCCTCACGACAGCACATAGCACTTCAGCTGTCAGTCACAACATCATGTCCCTTACTTACACTGTCGCCTTCAACTTCCCTAAAACATAGAAATTTAGCACCTAACTTTTCAATGAATAGGCACTTAATGTTCTGTCCTCCTCACTTATGAAAACATTCTTTGGAAAACTTTAGAACAACGTTAACCAATGAGAGGAAGTAACCCCTGTGATGCGCTGTGGTGAGGCGCTAGAGCAGGCAGCCTGCGCTCTACAGGGTCGCTGCTCTGCCTCTACCCACTCACCTCTAGCCTCAGATTTGCTTCACTCCCCAGTGGTGACACGGACGGACGTGTGCGCCTTGCAGGCCACAGCCCGACCCAGGCACAGCCAGCCAGCACCGCGGGCACGGCCAGCAGGGACAGCGGCAGCAAACGCCACCCTCAACGCAGAGGAAGTAGCTGTTCTGGGCTGCGCGGGTCCCTTGCCCTGGGTTGTCATCGTGGCCTCTGCACTGACACAAGGATGGTGTCCATTATGTTCCACCTAGAAATACTGGGAAAGGAGAACGAGGTTGATTTTAGCCCCTGTTTCCAAACGATTTGCACAGTGAAGTGAAAATTTCAATTATTACTATACAGCTTCAGGAGTACTTCTTTTTCCATTGAAAGTTTTACCAAATATTTAGCTTCACTGGATGTGATTAGTAATTAAAATATTTCATTTAGGGCTGGCCAAATAGTTCACCAGACTAAAGCTCCTGCTTAGGCAGAGCGCAGCGGCCAGGGTTCAATACCCAGCATGCCCTGCCTGCAGTGCTCCCCTGGGAACACTGAGACTGAGATTGAGACTCCCGGCGTGGTTGCACACACCTGTGACTCCAGCACTTGGGAGGCTGAAAACAGGAGACTCATTATGAGTGTGAGCTGTGTAGTGAGACCCTGTAGACCTTGTACTAAATACATTTAATTTTTTTTTTTCATTTAAAAGTTTAAAACCAAGGCTAGGTGCACTTGCCTAGGATGTGTGGTTCAATTCCCAGCACAACTAAATAAATATAAATAAATTAACCAATATATAGATAGATTTAAAGATAAGGAGAATTACGGACTTGATGTAAAAAAGGCAAGATGACAGATTGAAATTAGGACTTATCTGTGTCTTTGGACCTATGGTATGTCTCTAATACACAGCAATGAAGACTAATTTTTATCCAATATTTTATCCCCCTGAATGTTTTCTTCTGTCATCTCAGCTCTGCTCTTGAGCCTTTCTAATTTTGTCATTCTATTTTCCAATTCTGCATTTTGATTTAATTCATTGTTATAATTACTGTCTAACTGAAGTTCGATATTCACTGACTCATACTGATCATATATACTTTTTTTTAATTGCCTTGAAATCTGTGTTCTAAATCCAACAATAGGGCTGAGGAAATTGCTCGGCAGTCTAAGCACCTGCCTGGCAAGTAGTTCAATCCCTTGTACCACATGCTGTGCCAGCCCTACATCCCTAGGTGCTCCATGCCAGCCCCAAATCCAGGCATGGTGGTGTGTGCCTGTAATCCCACTTCTGGGGAGACTGAGACAGGAGGATTGTTATGAGTCTGAACTGTGTATCAAGACCCTGCATCAAAAGAATGAAAAAAAAAAAAAAAAACCTTAAAAAAAATCTAACAGCAGAGTAATAACACTAACAGACAGTGTCTCATCACTGCTTCTTCTCTGATACAGTAGTCATACTTTCTTGTTTCTTTGGAGGGTTCATAATTATTTTGCTAAAAAGGGACATTTTGGATAATATAGTGTAGCAACACCCAGTCCTGGCTTTGCTGTCCCGCAGGCTGTCGCTCTTGTCACTGCAGGAATTGCTGTCTGCTTGCTTGTTACCTTGATGGCTTACCTGGACTTTATCTGTGAAGGCCGCCTCGCTGGGCATCGTCCTTTCCTGCTCTCTCCTGGCTCCCCGTGGTCACCCTGTGTCCGCAGTGTCCAGGAAGCCAGTGCCTGGAGAGCTGGGCTCTACCCCCCTGAGGCAGTGAACCATGGGTCCCTGCCAGTGGCAGTACACGTGGGTGGCAGAGGAGATGAGACGCAGAGCCACTTGGAGACTTCTGGAATGCAGCCTGCCGCCCTGGACTGTGCTGCTCCTCCAGGTGAGGCCCCAGCAGGGCCTTCTCCTGCACTGTCCTGTCTCGATGGGCATTCACCAACCTCAGCCATGACAGAAGAGCTGCCAGCCCCTCCGAGGGACCTCCCGGGAATGGGACTGGGCTGGGGGAGGAGAAGGCCCCGGCGGGCCTGCACCCTCGGGCTCAGCTTCCTACCTGCATTGAGCAGCTGATCCAGGACAAATGCTTCTCAGATTCAGTCTGTTTCTAAGGTGCCCGATGGTTCTTTTCCTCAGCTTGGCCTTGCTCAGAGTTATTTTATAAGGATACAACCAGTCGTTCCGCACTCAGCCACAGCCAGACGTGAGCTGCTAACTTACCTTTGCAAGCTACATGAAGAACCCACTAAGCCTTAACTTCTTAATTACATCCCCATGATTCTTACTTTAATATCATCTGTCCATAGGCTTGTGAGTCTTGCATGCTATCGTTCTTATTGTTCCCACTTAAATCACTGCCTTACGTCGTCACTGCAACGCATTGGCGAAGCTCACGGCCCGCCATCACACTCACATTCCACGGACGACAGTGTGCTTTTAAAAGTCGACAAACACACGATCCTTCCAAATTCATCTGTCAGTTTGGAAACCGACATCGTTCCCTTCAGGGTGCTCACAGAACTCCTCGTGAGCTTTATGAAATAAATATCCTTGTCGTCATCTCCGTGGCCTCTTGGAGATTCACCGAGAGTAATCTTTTGCAGATTGCAAAGAAATCGTAACATTCAGAGCAGATTCCTGACAGGCCTTAAAACCTGCCACTCGTTGTGCGTGTGAGTAATTGCAATAGTAATAAAGCCCCGTTACAGTATGCAGCTGCGATTTACGCTGGGCTGGAGGCTAGATATCCCATTCCAGTTGGGAACTTTTGTAATGTATACCATCCTTCCTGAACTTCTACAAGCCATCTATTTTATCTACATATATCTGTATCTATTCACCTGTGTGAAAAATTAATTAATTGAAGTCATTTATGCTGATAATCAACACATCGTGGCAACCCAGGAGATAACTGGATACAGGCTCGTATCACGAAACTCAGTGGGATCGTTACAGTCTGGCTGTTAACACTTCAACTTTTCAAGACATACTAATCCTATGTGGGATAAAAATGCTTTAATGCAAAAAGCACCCTAGCGCTGGAATTCCATATTTTCTAAAATGTCGTGAAAGCGTATATTTCCAAAAGTATTAGCCTTCCATTACGCACTTATTATCGAGCATACTACAGTCATTGTGCCTCACGCTCTGTTTTCTACTCTGTTACAGCATAAATCAAATTGATTTGGTGTGGCCTAGTGGTAGCACACAATAATGTGCCAGAAAAACATATTTTAGGAAAGGCAAAAAGAAACATAAAGAGGTGACAGGTTTTCTTCTAAATCCATATACACTAATAAATATATCAATGCTACCTATGGATTTTAGAGAAAAATTTAAAAGGTTTTTTATAAAATTCATTTCTTAGTCCTCAAAACATATTTCATTAAGTGAACAGCTGTTTAAGATTAACCAAGACAGACCCTTACTGTATTTTAATACTTTGATTTCCCCAAATCAGCATGCCACAGGTTTCAATTAGGGTTTTTTAAAAATCAATTACAGAGAAAACTGGGTAGGAATTATGACTGTGGGCAGTTCCCATGAAACTGAAGAAGTGACTTCAAACTCCAGGACAGCTAGCCCACCAGAGGACTACCACAGCAGTGCGAATGGAAGGTCTAGGGTCCAAGCTTGGGGATCAGCTCAAGGGCACTAGGCACAGCTGCCAGGAATGAAGGAAGATGGTGCCAAGGTCAGGACACCAAAATGGCAGAAAGAGAACTGGCTGAGGAAACTGGGTATGCCTCAACATCGAAGACAGTTACAGATTTGGGGGCAATCTTAGAATCTTTGAGGTGTGGTGGAGGTAGGTTCTGCCCCCCTGCCTCACGACCAACCAGACTCTTCCCCCTCCTCCATCTTCCCTGATAACCAAAGAGATTTGCATAGTCAACACAGGACCAAAAAGAAGAGGCGACTCCAGGGCACGGAATCACCATGTGTCTCAACCACCCACAGTATTCCCACCCTCATGCCAGGCCAGCTGTAGTGAAGGAGAAGTCAGGTGAATCAGGGCTTTGGGAAATTTGTTTGTCTACCTTATAAAAAAGAAAGAATCGTTGGGGTGCCCTGTATTCCCTAGTTCTTTTTGCTTCCTACTAAGGACATGGTGACCAGGTAGGCATGGCCAAGAAATGACAGACATGAGCACCAAAGTCAGCACATCAAGAATGAAAAAGCAGAAAGATGAAAAGCACTTGCATCCTTGGGGGCCATGCCAGCTAGACTACCAACCTGCCCCAGTTTTGCTTGCAGCTGTGTCTTCCACCCAACACAGCCAAAACACTCCTGGTAGACACAGTGACCCTGGGGAAGAGGACGCATTTGGTCCTCAGATAATCTAGAAGGAGAAAACGAGACCATGGAGTGACAGGAATGTGAAGAAAGATTTAGGGTCAGTATCCGAAATCATTTCTAATGATGGAATTGCTGGGATAATAGGTCACCTCTGCAGTTTAGGACTCCCCAACCCAGCAGAAGGTAGCCAACCCATGAGTGGACAGCACTGCGGAAGGAATTCCTACATCACTTCTGAGGTTCCAAATTCTCTTCCAGCTTTGGTTACCAAGCTACAGATGTGTACTATTATACATGAAAGCTGACTTCGAGTTGCAGGTGGCAGGTGACTAGTCATTATTCTAGACGGCTAGTGATTGAGTTCTTTGCAGAGACTCAAAAACAACTGGAGTAGAAAGCAGGCAAAGATGGGTGGGATGAGGGATGCAGTGGAGGCCTGCAGTGCTGGACCTTTTCAGATTCCAGAAGGAGAGGTAGTATATGTGTCTATTAACCAACACCCACGCTAAAGTCTGGGCGTCCTTCTGCCATCAGACACACTCATAGATTATTCAGTGCAAATACAGTCATGTTCATCACACTGAGGGAAATAAGAAAAAAGGCTTCAAGCTCAGTAAGGTCAGCCTTTACAGCCAAGTAAGTGATGTAAGTTCAGAGTGTTGTGGATTCCAGGAGTCCACAGAAGGAGCCATGGGTCAGGTCCAGCAGTAGAAAGCCCATCTGTTTGGCTTGGAGAATCAAATCAAGGGAGTTCTCCCAGAAGAAGTCACCCCTTAGCCAGACCTTGAAAAATCAGTAGGATTTCCAATGCCAGAGGAAAAAATACTCATCCCTAAAAGGGAACGAGGCACAAACAAACAGGAGGCATTATCGGCAATCAAAACGGCACTGGCCACAGTCCTAGCAGAGACAGAGCATTGGAAGCCCCACGTTCTGGGGAGCCTCACTCCCCATGTTCTTGGTTGGTGCAAGTCTCAGCACAACTCAGGTCTGTAGCTAGGTTTGCGCCGTCAGTAGGAGCCTATGGATGAGCCGTGGAAGACTCTTCCGGAACTGAACTGTGCTTAGGCCTGGGCTGTCGTGGGCAGGGTTCTCAGCCCAGGCCCTGAGTTCATCTTGGTTGTGACTTCTAGAGCCCAGCCCTGAGTCCACAGATGAGATCATGAGGCTTTCAGGAGTAGAATGTGGAAAGAGAAAAATATAGGTCACCCTTTTCTGTACAACTAACTCATTCTTGGTTAAGAGACTCTGAGTTTGAACAACACTTACATGGATTATTTGGGTGGCTTTCCATGGGTGGCCAGCATTCAAGAGCTGCAAGGCAAGTCAGAAGATCCACACCAACAAGTGAAATTTTCAGTCCCAAGTGGAATGCTCGCGAGCATCCAGATGTCGGGTGTCCTGCGGTCTCGGCCTCGGTGCCGATCACTTGGAATTAGGCTCACGGTATGAGTCAGGGCTTTTATAGCATGTCACTCACAAAAATGTAAAGCTGGATTTAATATTACGAATGATAAAAGCCAAATCCAGATAATAGTCTTTCTAGAAGAAGCAAATAGCCTGAAACAACTTGGCTAATATGTATCTAGTCATAAGGATTATATTACCATCCAGTGGTCTTGACCTTTGACAACAGGGCGCTGCATGGTGCCTCTCCTGGCTCCGGCTTCCCAGAGGATAGGACAAAACTCGTCAACTGCATTCTACTAACGCCCACCTGAGAGCCAGATTGGGGCCACTTCGTCAGTGCCAGCCACGTGTGGGTACAACCACCGAGCACTGCCCTAATCCTGCTGGCGTCATGCAAAGTGTTGATAGGAACTGTTTCAACTCCAGTGGTTACTGAGCATACTCTGTTAGTGACACAACTCGTACCGACAAATGTGGGTGTGTCTGCCTCGAGACGGTATTATCATCTTCAGAAATAATCGTAAACACAAGGTAAGTAAAAAACTTGAAAGAAGAAACAATACACATTAAGTGAAAGCGTCTCTGTAAATCTCATGCATTTGGCATCAATCTGTTTTCAAGATGAGAAGCGGGGACACTGAGCCAATTGAATTAGGAGGGGAAGAAGTTAGAAAATCAAGATCTAATGTGTTATACAATAACCAAGATATTAATAATATCTGGAATAAAATACAAAATTGACATCTGAATAATCTAAAGAGTACAGGGACTTTTCGCCAACTTAAAGAAAACAATGTTCACAGACAGATGCTAGTAAAACGCTCAATACACTGATAAAGTAACTCCAAGGATGACTTGTCGTCTTGTTCTTCCGTTTATCCATTTGTTCCTAAATTAATTTCACAAATATTTATACAGAACCCACTACATGGCAAAGCATATACAGTGTTAAAAATACATGACTACTGCCCTCAAAAAGTTCACCCACTCTAGCAAGAGAGAATCAAATAGAGCTTGCCAGATAGCTCAGTGGCTTAAAGCACCTGCTTAGGCAGACACGGGGGCCAGGGGCTCAACCCCCTGCCTGTTGTGCCAGGCCCAGTCCCTGGGGTGTGCTGAGACAGTGAAAGAGACTAGGTGTGCTGGTGTGCACCTCTCATCCCAGCGCTTGGAAGGCTGAAAAACGGAAGGATCACAAGTCCGATCTGTGTGGTGAGACCCTGTAGACCCTGTGCTAAATGTCCTTAAAAAAGAGAAAGAGAGAAAGAATCAAATAAAGATAAGCAGAGAAAAACATGGTAAATGATGCAATTTAAATAACAGCTTTTCCCATGTGGAAGGAACTCTTTTGCCTACAAGGTTCTTTTTTGTGTCTTTCCCAGTCAATATATCTAAGGCATGTCTCTTGTAAATAGACCATGTTTGGACATATGCTCCAACACAATCCAAAATTTCCCATCTTTTAAATGAAGCATCTTTTTACTGGTACTTAAATTACTTCTTTGTATTTGCTATTATTGTCCTCCTCTATGTTCCTGTCTTACACAAGATAAAATTTCCTTTATCTTCTTTTATTCTTTTCCCCTAACTTGACATTATAAATTATACTTTTATTATTTTAGTAAGTCACAATTTGAAATCCAGCACAGGCTTCACAGTAGCCAAGGCATTCGGTCAGCCTAGACGTTCATCAACAAACAAATGTGCAAAGCAAATGTCTTCTAGAAACACAACAGAGGGCTAAGCTGGAACTCAGGGAGAGCAGGCTTGCCTACCATGCACAAGACCGGGGAGGATGCCCAGTGCAAAACAGAGCAAAGGAACATTCAGCCATAAGAAGAATGAGAACTGGCACGAGAGCTGCATGGATGACTTTGTGCACAATCTAGGTGGCTATATGCTTCCCACCACTCAATGATAGCTTCTGTCTTTCGGAGTCGTCTTTGAGAAGCCTGTTCCTAGCCTAATTAGCACACCCACATATATCATCTTTCTTTCTGCTCTAGGTTCACTACGATTTCAGTTGGTTATCTGGTGACCAGTGATCCACATTTACACATTCTGCTTGGGCTCCAGTCACACACACAGTGTAGATTCATCGTGCACTTACTACACAGCAGCAGGGACCTGGGACCAGCTCACGGGGAAGTGGGCCAAGCCCTGTGTTGATGCATCTTATATTCGGGTTGGCAGAGAGGCAGTTAAGCAGCAGCCCCATGCAGATACATTATGCTCCTAGCAGTGAGTGCTGCAAAGAAAAGCGAGTTAAGATGCAAGGGGCAGTGAGAGCGGGAATCAGTATGCATGAGGCAGCCAGAAAACACTTTATTTTGAGCACAGACAAGCCAGGCAGAGGGACAGCCCTTCCAGGTCACACTCCGTAGCCTCCCTCTTCCAACCAGACTCCCCTCCCAACAGCAGGTGGGCTGTAGCGGGTCCAACACTCTTCCAAAATCCCCGCCTCACAGTGTGTGAGGCTCTTGGGGGAACCTCTCTTCAGGAACTACTTTCAACCAGTGAAGGGTGCAGGTTTCCAAGCCAGCCACCCTGATGCCATGTGCTGTACGACATTTGATAAATACCTGTTTCTGGGCTTTTCTGGAAAATGGAGGCAACAGGACACTTCTCAGAATTGTGGCCAACAAGGTAGTATGTGGAAAGAATTCCCTCAGTATCTGGAACACAGTAAGAGCTAAAAAAGATGGGAGTTGACACCATCCCTGTCATTTGGGGGAGAAACACTCTCCATCTTGCTGTTTTGTTTTCCCCTAGGAGCACATATCATGAGGCTTTTAAAGTCATACTGAAATTTAGAAATCTAACCATATATAGCATTGTAGCAGGACATTTTTTTCTTGTCTCTTGTTTTCATTTATTACCCTTTTTTTTTTTTAAACATTTACTGAGAGACAGTATGGCAGTTAATTGATATATAGCTACTTTCTCTTAATTCAGTGAGAAGAAAGATTTGTACTAATAGTGTTTGGACAAGATATCATGTCTGCATTGTGTACTATGAATAACCACTATGTTTATAATCTTTTTTTTTTTTTTTTTTTTTTTTTTTTTTTGGCGGAACTGGGGATTGAACTCAGGCCCTTGTGCTTGCCAGGGAAGCGCTTATTCCACTGAGCCATCTCTCCGGCCCCATAATAACCACTATGAAGACAACAATATGCAATGTATTAATTATTGAAACTGTCCTGTTAATCGGTTTTGAAACTGTCTCATTGCTATTTGTTTCTCAATAAAATTAATTTAAAAAGTCATACTGAAAAGAGAAATAAAGTCATACTGAAATGAACTTGAAAACAAAATCATTGCGCAATTAAAAGCAGAATTATTTCTGTGCATTCAAAACAAAAATCACCTTAATCTTTATATTCTAAGTTGATATCTTCAGAATTTTACAAATTCTTGTCATAAGGTATGGGAGGTGGATAATAGTTTTTGTTTTGTTTTGTTTTTTGGGTTGTTTTTTTTCTTTTAATGCATTTGGTTGCTACAGGGTCTCATCATGCAGCTTGGACTTGGTGATCCTCCTGCTTCTAGCCTCCCCAGCAGCGGGATTACAGGCATGCACCGCCAGGCCTGGACTCTGGCCAGCTCAGCCCACCCAGGGGCGGGGCTGGCGCAGCATGTGCTTCCAGGGATTGAACCACCATCCCTGCGCTTGCCTAAGCTCCCCTAAGCTGGCACTCTAGTCCACTGAGCTATCTCGCCCGCCCCTGGATAATAGTGTTTGATACAAAGAGACAGGTACAGTACT